AATAAGAAAAAAAAAAAAATGGTATATACAATGTCGCCGTCTTCTCTATTTGGAGGTACTATTATGCCCGGAAAAATACCGCTCCAGTGGAAGGTTTTCTTAAACCTATTGGTTTTCCGGCCACTATAAGTGGCCTCATCCGTACCATTACATGGAAATCTCTGTTTCTTCATTACCAAGTTGAGGTCGTCACTAGTTATAGCCTAGTGAATGGCCACCTTGATCTCGGAAAGCCTCCTCCTTTCCCTTGTGGCGGTATATGCGGACGGCAACAGTGCATGAAAAAATACAAAGATGTTTCGGCGGGCGACACTCTGGGACTGCGAGCCTGACGGTCATCACACCCACCTTTTTGACTTCTTATTTCTTCAACGTAGTCCACGAGGGTTCTCAACGTGCCATATGCCATACACTCCTTTCAACTCTGCCACGATACCGAAGTATACCGTTGCTTTCCAGTATACCAGCCCGCTCGCCGCCGTTTCCATAAACAAGCATACTCACCCCTAGGGCAATGTTTTGTACATGCTTGAAGAATCACGTTTTTAGATAACGATTTATAATACAATGATATAACAAAAACATGTCATGGTCACTTGTAACTATTAAAAAAAAATAAAAAAAATATAAGGACTCGCTCCGGCAGAGTCACAGTAAAGATCGATAGCGGCACGCAGCCTCAGGCCCTGAATAAACGGGGAGAGACGGAGACACACACATCTCGCGTGATTCGCGTTTCGTAGTCACATTCATATCACCAAAAGTCAAAAATAATTAAATATGATTCAACTTACCTTAAGCAATGGTTTCTTGAATCACCAATTTTTTGAGTGCAGTTCGTGCGAGTATCGTGACCTTTCTACTCATGCGGTCCATTAACATGCGCGCTATATCATTCAGAGCAATATGGTCCAACATTTGATGTCCAAGAAATATTGGTACTATGGGGGGAGCGAGAGGTACCCCGTGTTTTCTCTGACATCGGCACTGAGACCTAAACAATTATAGAAGCCACTGCGGTAAGAACTGCTGTCTTACATGCACAGCCCAATAGACCACCTCCTTTACTGAGGTTCTTGCAACTCCGGCCGACAGTCAGGAGGTTAATATGAAAAGACACCGCAGCTCAGTTTAGTCACTGATATTCTTTTCAATATAAGGGAAATGTACAATACAAAAACAAGGCGAAAGTGTGAGTATGATAATCCATTTCTAGTCCAAGTGAGAAGTAGAGATGAGGTGTTAAGTTTTCAGTAAGGGTATGGGATAAATCCTCTGTGGTCTTACGTTTTACCGACTTTGTGATGACATTAACTTGATGGTTCGTGACTTTCAACCATCTAACTAAGCACCACTTTGCTGGGGAATATCGTTGTTACTAATTAATGTTAATGCTACAGACTATATCGCTTGTGCCGCAAGATATGGCTAGACTTTCCCAGTATAAGAATAGAACAGAAAATGCAGAATTTTCGACAATCTATATAAAGCTAGATATAATTTGTTGAACTTTGATTGTATTTCATCCAGGAGTATTATGGTTAATTTTGATTTTAATCTTGAGTAAACCGGATACTTGAATATACATCTTCGGCCTCCTCTTAATGGGTGACATACAAATATTATCACGTATACTCCCTCACTTAACACACCAGTACCAATCTCTTATAACTGACTGCCACAGGCAAAAACCAACGCAGAGTATAAAACCAGACATCATTATACATCTGTTTCGTCAGCGGGCTTACTTCCTCTCATCAGAATGAAAAATGAAGTCATAACGGGAACGCACTCTTGGGACAATCAAAACACACCCTGTCAATCACAATGGTCTACTATACTTTGTCTGTACATGCAAAAAACGAGATGGGTCTGCAAACAAAAGGTCATCTCCTAAGTTTGATCAGATCCAGATGTAATAACCTGGAATTAATAAGCTGAATTGTTACCTCTTTCGGTCTATCATGTTCCATCCTTTTTGATTATAAAACCAAATCGTTTCAGTTCACCAACAAAAAAATTGTCCTCACTTTCCAATACATTTGTGGAGGCATGTACATTTTGCCCTAAAGGAACAGTTAAAACATTTTGGGAACTACCACATTCTTACTGATCAGTTAAATGACAAAATGTAGAAAGTAAATGCCAACACCATTACTACACGCTTTCTGATCTTCCGACACATCATCAAAAGCACTTTTTACATGTGTCCTACATCTCACAGACCTTCCTCACACACATTCACAGGGATGAGCAAAGTCATCAAACAGAAACAACATCATTCATCACACAATTATAACAGCATCGGAAAAATTCGGGGTCAGTAAATCTGCCAAGGACTACTTCGACACCGTGGCAGGAGACCGGGAATCGACCAACAACACCCGCTTACGTGAACACACGCTTTTACCTCTGACCTACAGCCAGTATGTATATAATGTATACTCCCCTTCTGTCTGTACAGTCGATAAGAAGCTGGAGCCAGCAATGATTAGCTTAGATCAATGAGGACTGGTCTGGCTCTGTCCAAAGAGGGCTAAATCAGTTCTATGATGAAATGTATTGCATTTGTATATTTGTATATATACCTCATCCTTGGGACTCCAGATGTGTGAATCATTGTGGAGAGAGTACTGTCCCCAAAAATCTAATTTTGTTAAATAATTAGTGCACTTACTGTTAATGTATTCCCTTTAATAAACAATCCTGATTCATGGCAATGCATACACAAACTTTATTTGACTTTAAGGGGGGGAAAAAATCTTATTTTCATAAATTGTTCTTTTTTTTTTTTACACACACAGGCTGAAATCGAGGTTTCCGATGCAGGGTTGTGGACATGCCAACAGGGAGAGGGATGGGGCTGCAACGTTAACAGCGCCCCATGAGCTGGCTTGGGGTTAGGTGCCTTGCTCAAGGGCACCTCGGCAGTGCACAGGGGGTGAAACTGGCATCTCTCATTTTGTGGTCTGTGGGACTTGAACCGGCAACCCTCCGCAAGCCAAGTCCCTACACACTGAGCTACTGCCACCTCTAAGACCAGATTGTGTGCACCATCATTGATAAATACAAAACCTACTAAAAAATTGACTGGCTCCAGTCGCAATAAGGGGAATTATGTTTTAAGAAACGGTGGGGGCCTGGAATAGGATAGAATCAACTTCATTGTCACATACACAGTACAACTTATAGTGAAATCCTCTTTGTACTCTGCATTCAACACATCCTATGTACTATAGGAGCAGTGTGCAGCCTACATGTTTTTATGCTGGGAGAAACCAGAGCACTCCCCAAAATTTACAACAGTGGTTGCCAACCAGTAAATGCTGATATTTTACTCAGTTGGCGTATAAAATGTGTGAAATATTATTTTGTCCAGCAGAGGGGGCCAGATGCCCTGCCACGCAAACCTCAAGAAGTCCATTATGTGGACCACAACAAGTCAACTTGTCTACTTTATGTGTTGGGAATGTTTTGGTCCCAAAAACCAAGAGTTTAAGAGTTCCCAAACACTGGAGAAACAAAACAAAGATTCACAAACATATATTCAGTTTAAATAGAGTGCGTAATGAACGATACAGGTTTACCCACCTCACACCCACTCATTTTTGTATCCTGTTGAGCAACATTTTTTGAGAGGTAGGTGCACCTTGGTGCTTGCCCAGTCCGTACAGAAACACACTGTAAGTCCCTGAATGACTAATGGATAATGACTAATCAAGCTGACGCATTGGGGCAGATAGGTGTAAATATACACACCGATGTCCCTGCTTAACCTACCAAAGAGGACCAGACAAGTGAACAATGACAATGTTTTATTAACGCCACGTATAAAAGAACCGAGAAGTGACATCTTGAAGATAGAGTAAGGGGGGATTTCAGTCCATCATTTCAGAAATCTCTCACCAGTTGACCTTTCTCCTTGTAGCCAGTTACTTCTGGTATACCTTGTCCCAGCAACATATGGTCTCCTCCACCCCTCACCCTACTGGCACAGCATAAAGCAGGGGGATAAATGACTGGAACAGGCCTCGCAGCCTGCACTGTATGCACATTGGAAGACACAGTGCTAGAAAAGAAAGGGATGAGAGGGGGGTTGTGAGTGGAAAAGACAGGGGGAGGCTTTGGTTGAGTTTATGCTTGACCCTCCTGACCTTACAAAGGACATCTGAAACCATATGATTAGGGGGAAGGTCAGCCACCCCGGAAGTTGCGTGTCCCATTTTGAACTATTTGAGGAAACAGTTAATGTAAATGATTATATATTCAGTATATAGTGTTTGATCCACATCTTTCTCTGTGTTTATGGCATTGCTCAGTTTCTTCTGTGTCTGTCCTCTTTGCTCCTCGTCTTCCAAGACATATTCTCATGCCATATTCTTTATGTCTATGCACTCTAATTAATTGGACATTCTGTTTGAGTGTTATCCTGCAATTGTTATTTTTGTCAACCCTTTGCATATAGCATATATTACTTCCTGGAGGAATTTGGTTGCTCTTCTAGGTTTTGAAAAGGTTTATCAAGTTATCTAAATTAGTAAATCACAAACACAGATACACTTAAAACAGTCCTCAAATACTCATTAACAGGAGCGTGGGAGACTTTAAGGGGTGTCAGTAATATGCTGATTTAATCACATATATCAATATTTTTTTTATGGAAAACAACTATCACTCAGTCTAAATTGTGTTAAATAATATGTGTTAATTTCCAGTTTTTAATTTCTTATTTTCATTAAGTGTATGCCAAATCCCTTTCCTATTTAGGAAAAATTGATATATGTTACGAATATTCAGGTTTCTGTTCTGTGTTTTTAAAGAGGCATTGTCAAACATTACGCTAATGACGCATTACTTGAGGAACACCAACCGTAATGATTGGTTTCATGTTCTACTTTTTCCAGTGTTGGCCATACCAATCGGAGATGAAAGGAAACATCGCGACATTTGCCCAACACCCCGTCGGTCTGGGGTTACAGAGGCGATATCTCGCGCTACCTCAACGCTCGATGTCTCATTCCACCACGATCAAGACTGCCGGGAGGGGGTTTCTGTTGAACAGCACACAGCAACCATTTCATTTGGAAACTTGAACGGAATTTATATTTATACCAAACATCGTCTTTTTATTTATTTAAAGAAAACGTTATCGTCTAACTAACTTTATAGGTAACCACTGTCTCAAGATCGTAATTTGTACAGAAAAGTAAAGCTAAGTTATAGCCGGCCGTGCTAACAAAGAAAATCCTTTCTCTTCAGAAATAATCCCCACTACTCTCTTTAGTTATGAGTCATGTGGTCGTTGATAATCCACACGGTCTAGATCAGCAGGTGAGTGCTTTAAACTGGCTACTTCTTTTTTTGTCATAGTAATGTGGTGATTTTCCATTACGCACATGTAGTTTCGACATAGAAAAAGGGAGCTTCGTTCGCTAAGTCGCTAGCCTCTAGCTAAGCTAACGCTGCGGCTGGTAAAATGGAGGTGATGTCGCCGTAGAGAAGATTGTGATGGCGGAGCTCGTCACTACGCTGTGCCTGTCAAGTAAACTAACACGATTATTAGTCCAGTGTTTACCATAAAACGGCTAGCAGTAGTCCTAAAAAAAGCTAGACATGACATGGGAACCGCCTCTTTTGAAAATTTGTTTCATTTAATGAAAATGTACAAGGTTATCTAGCATGTACCTCCGGCTGGTATTGTACCAAGTTAGCCGGGCTAATGTTGGGCCTTCTCAACCTGAAACGTGGCGCAGGAGAAAATGTTGGCAGCGGGTTTTAGCGACCATTAATGTTTTTGTAAATGTAACACACTCGGTTTAATGATTCCTTCGAGTAGAACAAATTTGGATAAGTTATTCCACTCTACGCATTAATGCATATTTCCCTTTTTGTCATGTTTTAATTTGTCGGCATTTACTTTTTTATGATTTATGTATCAGGCTTTATCATGCCATGTCGGTTGAAATCGACAATGGTGGTCTCTTTGATTAATGGTTTGTTTGAGACTAAAGACAAACCCTTCTGGAACTATTTAATAAGTAGTGGATAACCAAACATTTTAAGTTGGAGAATTGCTTATATTTAATTACATCTACTCGCTATTTCAAGGACAGTCAGTGTATTGTTTTAACATAGTTATCTATTGTTGGTGCCATATTACAAATGTTGTAATCTGCTTTTTTGTAGCTTGCTGCCCTAGACTTGAACTCTGCTGACGGACAAGGCGGAGGAACTGGCAGTGAGTAATGAAGCTGATTTTACTACTTTACTGTACTGATGATTACCTTACCTTCAGTTTAAGCCCTGTGTAATGTTTTTCCAATTTGATACTTTTGAATTGACATTCAAGTTACTAATGTAAACCCCTGTCTTCGCCCAACTAAAACAAGCTGCACTTTTACAAAACAAGTACACAACAAGGACACTATTCTTTTAGTGTGTTTATCTTTGAGGGAAAACAGTGGTTTAAGTTGTGATTATTGGAATATTATGTTATGTTCTATAATGTTTCTTTCAGTGTATGCATAACTTAAATAATTAAGTCTTAGTGAATCAACAGTTAACTTTGTGCTACGTGTGTTTTTTTTCTCTCCATCTAGGGCGTTACATTCCACCTCACTTGAGAAACAAAGATGCTTCTAAAAACGGTGAGTTTAATGGGACGCTGAACCACAGTCAGACTGTCAGCACAGGTTGAGTTGTGGTGCTCTTACATTTTGGCCCATCAGAGCATGGTAAAATCAATAAAATCAAGCACAATTGAGAAGACATTGGTGAGGCAATATTTGTTTCTCAACATTTTGATCTTGGCAGTGTTTTTTTTTTTGCTGCATCAGACCATAGAAATGTTGAGGATCTTGTTTTTTTTATTTTTTTTATTTTTTTTTATATAAATATACTAGTGCACTAGTGGCTTTGGCCTGGAATTATCATTAAGAGTTCAAGCTTATTTTAGTAATGCAAATTTTAGCTGTTAATTTAACTATTTTCATAATGTGGACATAGTTCATATTTTCCCATGTTCTTCCCAAGTTTATACTTGTCTCTTGTGAACAAAAGGAATGCTTGCTGTTGACTGCTCTCATAGAGGGGAAATGTGGAGGGTGGGTGGGATGTATTTTAAGTATGAAATGGATAAATGTTTTTAGTCTAGATGAGGTGGCTGAAGTTTGTTTCTGCACTTGCTTAGCCTCTTAAAGGCTTAAACCAAGACACTTGTTGTGCCTGGAATACTCATAAGTTGAATTAAAAAAATAAATAAATCATGGAACTGTGTCACTGCACACTTGACGTTTTTCTCGTTTTTACTGTTTTCTTATTCCACAGCAGGAAATGCTTATTCCGCTGGTAGACAGTGCGGTTATTCAGTGGCACCAATAAATCTCTGTAAGTCCCTTCTGTCTGCTTTCGCTGAGGGCAACCAGCATTTTCAGATGCATGAAACAGCCATTTTACACACCAGCAAAACCAGTGCGGGGGGGGGAGATTAGGTTAGAGCTATACACTATACAGTAGAAGTTAATGATGGGCTCATGATTAATTGATGTGCTTCTCTCTGCTGGGATGCTTGCAGTCAAAATGAGAAATGTTACAGGTAAAGGGCAATTTAATGTAAGCATATGCTTCTTGGTTTCATTTTAATTTTTCTTCAGTTTTTTAAATCTATTTGTTCATTGGAATGATTTTTTCCCCCATTGTAAATCCAAGACCATATTTCACCTGCAATGTCCCCCAAGTTTCTTAAACAGTGCCCACATCCATGGCAGGCAGTGTCCTCAGAGACACAGAAATAACTATACTTCAGGGTGGGAAGACTGTAAGATTGGTAACTACTAGTGTAAGGTCATGCCCAACACGCATACAGCACAAGCCAGTAATTATGGGCGAGTCTTTTTATAGCCTGCTTCCCTACCTTTGCTCAGGTTACCCAAGACTGACTTCTCAAGAGCTTGCCTTTTACCATGCCTACAGTGGGGGTTGGCGAAACAGATGTGGTATACCTAGACCTCCACCTGCATGCCATGTCATCTACTTGTCAGCAGAGTTTCATAGTGTATATAGCTGAACACCAGGCACAATCAACATGCCTTTGCTTTGTCGTGGTCACTTGGGGAAAAAGCTGCAGAAATCTGGCCTAACACAGCATTCGTCAAAGCTTGCAAATGAAGTTGCTTATGATGCATGGTGCCTTAAAGACTCTGCACTGCATCACTAGTGTGACTGTCTTACTAATAAGATGTCAGGTGTGAAAGAATTGTTCAAGACGTATACTTCTTTGCATTGTCTTACTAATCATGCCCTTTGAACGTGTTTCAGTTGCAGACATGAAATCAAAGCAGGGATTTTATTTTGCCAGGAAACTGAGCCTAATACTTCTACATTGACATAATTAAATCCCACTCATTAATAAGAAGTCTGTTCTTTCTTTGAGCTGTCTGTGTCCACCTGAGACATACTATTGAAAAGTCCCAAGTGGGATTGTTGAACAATGTGCTGAGAACCTGAATGCATGCAGGCATTTGATTGCTCTAGGTGATTTCATTGATTAGTTACTTCTGTCTGTTGTGAAGTTGGAATAACCATTGAAATCTACTGGAATACCCCCCACCCACCCACCCACCCCCATTGCCACATGACTGACCTGTAGCTTCTGTCTCAAAGGGATGTTTGTTTCT